TGGAGCGATTTTGCCAAAAATGGGAAGTAAATGGTTTTTGGCAAAAGCATCGTATATCGCTGTCAGGTGATCATGCAAGGCTGCAAACAGCCATAAATGTAGGCCAAATGCTAATCACCCAAAATGCGGTTGTGTGACCATGAGGAGACTCCCCTAGCTGTTGAAATTTGGGAATTAGATTGTAAATACTTTTTTTGGGGGGGGGGGGTTTAAGTCATTGTAATTTCAAATGGTTGCTATGCGACCGGTTGCAAGTCAAGGACTTCCTGTAAGGTATGTGTCTTTTGTGGCCCAGTTCTTTCAAAAGGCACCCAGTCCAAACAATATTTCAATTCATTAAAAAAAAAAAAAAATTTCCTTGGTCATTTGAGCCTCTGCTGGGCTTCACAACCACCTTGTGAGGTATTCCCCTTGGAGGAACAGCAATAAAAATGCAAGTTTGATCGATCCCATCCATCATTCTGTGACTTGATTCACACATTGCACAAAATCAGGGTTGAAAAACAAATCAGAACTGATTTTTGGGACAAGCTGTAGTAGCCTGGCTTACATACCATGCTAAAATATAATGGATGTGTTTGTGCTCAGCCAAAATGAAGCCACATCAGGGCAGGGTTTCTTGACTTGCTGTGTTCTCTTAAATCCTTAACGAAGTTTAAGACCAGGGTTCAAATCCACCATTTTTACGATGTTCTCCAAGAACCTCTTTCAACTCAGAGGGGTATCAAGCATGATGGGTCAATCTGAAGTCTCAATCCTTTGGAAAAAGTGCAAGGAAGAGCAACTAAGACGATTGAAGGTCTGAAGACTAAAACATATAGAGAATGATTGCAAGATTTGGGTTTGGCCAGTCTAGAGAAAAGAAGGACTGGGGGGGGGGGGGAAACGACATGATAGCAGAATTCCAGTATTTGAGAGGCTGCTATAAAGAGGAGGGGGTCAACTTATTTTCCAAAGCACCAGAAGGCAAGACAACTAGCAATGGATGCAAAAGAGCCAAGGTGGCGCAGCAGTTAGAGTGCAGTACTGCAGGCCACTTTAGCTGACTGTGTTCAGCAGGTCAGCAGTTCAAATCTCACCGGCTCAAGGTTGACTCAGCCTTCCATCCTTTCGGAGTAGGTAAAATGAGGACCCAGATTGTTGGGGGCAATGTAAATATATATATATATACATTGCTTACTGGTGTACACCGCTTAGAGAGTGCTTGCACTTAAAGCGGTATATAAGTCTCATAAATAAATAAATAAATAAATAAATAAATGAATGAATGAATAAATAAATAAACTGGATGGAGACTAATCAAGAAGAGAAACAACCTGGAATTAAGGAGAAACTTCCTGACAGTGAGGACAATCAACCAGTGGAGCAGGTTGCCTCCAGAAATCATGGGCGCTCCATCACTGGAGATTTTTAAGAAGAGACTAGACAATTACTTGTCTGAGATGGTGTAGGTTCTCCTGCTCGAGCAGGGGGTTGGACTAGAAGACCTCCAAGGTCCCTTCCAGCTCTATCTGACTGATTGAATCTGAAGGGGCTACCAGTTAGAATATGAGTGCTACAGATCTCTGATTATAGGTAGTTCCTGACTTACAACCATTCATTTAGTTAAAATGGCCCTTATGACCGGTCCTCCCATTTACAAACATTACATTATTCCCGTGGTCACATGATCAAAATTCAGGCACCTGGCTACTGGCATCCCAGTGTCATGTGATCACCGTCGGTGGCCTTCCCCAGCCAGTTATGATCAATGGGAAGCCGGATTTACTTAACAACTGGATGATTCACTTAACAACGGAAGTGAAATGAATAACAACTGTGGGTCAACCTCCACTTGAATATCCAAGCAAAGTCCAGCATGTCTTTCAGTTCTGAAAATCTTACTAAATTATGCCAAGGATTTTTGTATAATACCTTCTCTTACTTTCAGTTTCTTTTTTTTTAATAATTTTTTTATTTTTCCAAACTCTCCCCCATACATATACATTATAAATTTGGGCACGACTCTCTTAATAACTGCCTTGGTAACAATGGAAATTCCGGGCCCAAGTGTGGTCGTAAGTTGAGGACTGCCTGTAGGTTTCCAAGGCAAAATTATGACCAACGGCTGTTGATGACCAGCCCCTCTATAAATTGGTCTAATCTAGTATTTCTCAAAGTGTGGTCCTAGGACCCCTGAGGACCCCCAAAGACTCTCTAGGGGCCCTCAAATCAAAATTATTTGTCAGCGTGTGCTGAAAAACAATATTAAAACCCCGTCAAACTATGGTGAGACCCACAAGTGTCAAGAAATGTGTTGTTTTAATTTTTAATTTATTTTTATTTTATTTTATTTTTAAAATTTATAAGCCGCCCCACTCCCAGAGGACTCTGGGCGGCTAACAATAAAAACACATAAAACATAACAAAACAAACAGTACAAGAACAGTCATCCAGGGGTCAGATTTTATAAACCCCAGGCCTGCCGGAAAAGCCAGGTCTTAAGCAGCTTACGGAAAACCAACAGGGTTTTCCATATTGATATAAATATATTATATTTATATCAATATGGTAAATATTGATATAAATATAATAAATGCAAACAATAGCTCTTTTGGAGACCTCCGTACTATTTTAAAGGGGGAGAGGGTTCTGAGAGACAAACGTTTAATAAACACTAATCTATTTTCTCATTCTAACAATGCATAACAGGAACGTATTTCCTTCATCTTTTCTGAAACGTCTATCCCGCAGCTTCATTAGGTAGCCTCACAATCCGTCACCAAGAGCAGAAAAACTGTGAAGAATTTATCTGGAGACTTTCAAGAAGAGATTTCACAGCCATTTGTCCGGAATGATATAGACTCGAGTCTCTTGCTTGAGCAGGAGGTTGGACTAGAGCAGGGGTGTCAAACTCAATTTCACTGAGGGTCGCATCAGCATTGCGGTTGCCCTGGGGGGTGTGTGTGTGTGGCCAGAGTGGGTGCAGCCTACTGGGTGGGCGTGGATGGAGTGGGTGTGGCCTACTGGGTGGGCATGGCCAGCTCTACATCGTTCGCGTCCAGGGTGCCTGTGGGGGCCTGGGCAGGAGTGGGACAGATCTGAGGGTCTCTGGCAGAAGGGGGTGGGACTGGGGCAAGCGCCAAGGCATGGTCCATTTCTTCATTCCTCATAAAGGGGGACACCTGCCCAGCCTGCACCCAGGGGGCGGGGCCGATGCGGCAGGGGCCGGTTCCTCGCTGTTTCTGGATGGCCTTGTGGAGCTAAGACTGAATGCGTTTCAGCCTAGATGGCCACCACAAAATTGTACATTGGCTCCTGGCCTGGGCCAAGGCCAAGGCAGCAGGGGGCCGTTCCCTCACTGTTTCCAGGATGACTTTGCGGGCCACATGAAACCACTTTGCGGGCCGCATCCGGCCCCCGGGCCTTGTGTTTGACATGTCTGATATAGAGTCTTTGCTTGAGCAGGAGGTTGGACTAGAAGACCTCCAAGGTCCCTTCCAGCTCTGTCATTCTATTTGGATTCCATTTTTCTGCTTGAAACATAAGTAAAGAATACATACTATATCTCTACGGCTCCAACATATTCTTGCAACAATCCTGTAAGGTAGGCAAGCCTAAGAAACAATAACTTACCATCAGGCAGAAAATTTCCCTACCTTGAATGAGAAGCAATCTGGGTCTCTCTGGTCCAAATCTAACACAGATTTCAAAACATCCTTTACGAAAGCGGCTACTTAGATAAATAACAAATGTCCTTTGTGTAATTATTTCACCCTAGGCCTAGGCCGTCAGGATCAATAAATCTCCAATTTCATCTAAAAAAATAAAATAGATAATGCTGGCTGGAAAGGTAGGAGAAGTGCAATGGATTTGGAGAACATCTGTCTACCATTTCAGACAAATAGTTGTCTAATCCCTTCTTAAAAACCTCCAGCGTTGGGACTCTAGAAAGAGTGCAGAGCAGAGCAACAAAGATGATCAGGGGATTGAAGGATAAACATTTGAAGAATGGTTGCAGGAATTGGGCATATCTAGTTTAATGGAAAAAAGGACGAGGGATGACATGATAGCAGTCTTCCAGTATCTCAGGGGCTGCCCCAAAGAAGAAGGAGTCAAGCTATTCTCCAAAGCACCAGAAGGCAGGACAAGAAGCAACAGATGGAAACTACTCCGGGAGAGAAGCAACCTAGAACTAAGGAGAAAATTCCTGACAGTCAGAAAAATTAATCAGTAAAACAGCTTGCCTTCAGATGGTGTGAATGCTCCAACATTGGAAGTTTTTAGGAAGAGATTGAATAGCCATTTGTTTGAAATGGTATAGGGTTTCCTACTTGAGCAAGGGGCTGGAGTAGAAGACTCTAGTCTAGAAGGTCCCTTCAAATTCTATTATTCTCTTGTGTTGGAGCACCCAGAACCTCTGAAGGCAAGTCATTCCACTGATTTCTGGTCTCTAGAATCTAGAGCAGGGGTAGGCAACCTTGGCTCTTTTATGACTCGTGGACTTCAACTCCCAGAATTCCTGAGCCAGCCATGCTGAGGGGAAAGGAAAGTTTCCAAGCTGAGCCATGCTGGCTCAGGAATTCTGGGAGTTGAAGTCCGCGAGTCATAAAAGAGCCAAAGTTGCCTACCCCTGCTCTAGAGTCTAGATCAATATTTCTGGAACTTGGCAACTTTAAGGTGTATGGACTTCAACTCCCAAAATTCCCCAGAAACATTGTCTGGATCAGTATTTCTCAAAACCTGGCCACTTTAAGGTGCATGGATTCAAATTCTCCCGCCCATTTTAATGTTCTGAAGGAAGAGGAAACTTAACGAACGTTTCCTATCCACTTTTCTCACTCCCCCAAGTCCTAGATCAGTATTTCTCAAGCGGGCCACTTTTTAAGAGGTGTGGACTTCAACTCCCAGAATTCCCCAGCTCTGAGCGGAACAGGAAGCGCACCCGTTGGCGATCCACGTGCGCCCCTTGAGCCTCCACGTCTTACACCGTCCCAGCGAGAGTTGAAGCGACCGCTTACCCAGCACGAGGATCCGGTCCCCCGGCTTCAGTTCCGCCTCCAGCTGGTCGCGGAAACACTCCAAGCCCCCGAACCACTCGGTGGGCTCGGCCCCCTCCTGCTCGTAGCGCGCCTCCCAGAAGCTCCGCTCCCGGTACCTGGCGTTGGAAAGCGGCCGCTGCCTCCGCGGGGCTTCCTCCATAGGGAAGCCGGGACTGAGCTGCTCCTCCTCCGCCGCCGCCGCCGCCGGCTGTGCCTGACAGTTCTGGAGCCCCTGCTCGTCCACGTGGCCTGCCCAAAACCACGTGGAGCTTCCGGTTGCCGAGCGGGAGGGCGAGTCAAAGCGCTCCCCCTGGAAACGCGACCCCGGAGGGTTGGGGGTCTCTAGGACGGGCTGTCCGCTTTCTGTCCGCTGCAGCGTTTCCTCCTTCGAGGTTGAGGCTTACGAGAGTCGGACGTCCGATATTTGTAGCTCCGGGATGAAATGAAGGCTCGGTCCTCGGTGGTCTCTGAACTTGGCTGTTTTCTTGCAGACGTTTCATTACCCAGCTAGCCTTGATCGTGTTACCTGGTTGGGGAATGAAACGACTGCAAGAAAAGAAGCCAAGTTCAGAGAGCACCAAGGACCCCCTCAGTTGGGGAGCCTGCAGGGTATTTGCACAGGCTGCTGATGCTATAATATACTAGGAGATTTTGTTGCCAGTCGAGCTTAGCACATTATGGATGAATATTATTTTAAAAAATACGAAAACGTAATAAAAACTTGTTTCCTTTCTGGGTTAAATGTCTGGCAACGTTAATAAATAATAAAATGGGGTATGCTCCGTACAGCGCCCTCACCCTCCTCCCCGCCGTCCTCGTTTCTCCCCCTCCCCCCGTCTCCCCCCCCCGTGTACGATAATCATGCAGTACGTTCTGCTGTAAATATTTATTTCCCTTCAATTTTCATTGTTGTATTTTACTGGAGTAAAGGTTTGGACACTTATAAGGCTGCAGATAAAAATCAAGCACATTCTTCACACCTTTACCGTGGATTCAGCTCTTGATAGCCATGACAGAGCCGTGGCAAGCCAATAAGCAGGCATGGAAAGGACACCACCAGGAGAGCCTATGGTTCTTGGCATCTTGGGTGAAGGCAAGGGGAAAAAAACGCCTTGCGCGTTCTTGCAAAGTCCAGTAGTAGACTTTACAAACACTCGGCTTAGAAGGTAGTGCTGAGCTGGCTTCGTTTCCCGGTGGTCTCCCAGCTGGACGGGAGACCACCGGGAAATCCCAGAGCTGCGGCATCCCGGGCAGCCGTCCCTGCCCAACTGCCGTCGAGGACGGGACGAGCCTTGTGTTGAGGGGCATTTCCGCGCCCGGAACTGTCGACGCCGGGCGAGGCCAGGCGGGGGAGCGCTTTGGCGGTGGCACCAGCGGGCCACAGCAGGGTTATGGCGCCGGCGCCCGGGCTGCGGAGGAAGGGGGCGGCGGGGCCGGGATACCCGGTTCTAGTCCGGGCCCTGCGCCGGGCCTGGCAGGAGAAGCACCTGGTGCTCTTCGAGCCGCGCTTCACCCCGCTGGTGGCCGCCTGCCTCTGCTTGGCCGAAGTGGGGGTCAACCTCTGGGTCATCCAGAGGGTGGCATGTAAGTCGCCGAGGGGCGGGGGGGGAGGGAGCTGCCCCTCCTTGGGCATCCCAAAAGGGGTGGATTCCAGCTCCCATAATCAGTGCAGGCTCGGGTAACTTGGCCAGATAAGGGAGGGATGACCGAGTGCAGGTCGGGTCTGGGGAGGTGTACTTGGGTGCATTGACCAACCTTGGGGACTAGAATCTTGATGAGTAGAGGGATGTCGTCTTAAAGTGGGTAGGCGAGGGGGCGCCAAGTATAGAATTAGAGCTGTGCAGGTGTATTTTTGGCCAGCCCATAGTCTAAATCAGTGTTTCTCAAACTTTAAAATGTATGGACTTCAATTTCCAGAATCTCTTAGCTGGCAGAGGATTCTGGGAGTTGAAGTCCATACATATTAAAGTTGCCAAGGTTGAGAAACACTGCTCTAAATTGCTGTGCCCTTATACCTTGTGGGTGTGTGGCAATCATGGTATGTGCGTTAGTGTATTGCAGTGGTTCCCAACCTTTTTAATGCCGTGACCCCCAACCGGTCGTAAGTAGAGGACTACTCAACTGGTCGTAAGTCGAGGACTACTCAACTGGTGAAGCACCGTTTGCAGAATGGGGCTTTTGGCGGGCTCAGCAGGGCAGAGACAGCCTGGACCATTCCTATTGGCTTTTGAAAGCCAATAGACTTAGACTCTATTCAAGAGCCAATAGAATAAAAGGGAGTAGCACAGCTAAGGAAAAAGGGGAAAAAATGGCAGACTGCGTTGTTTGGCGACCCCCGTGAAATAGTCGTTCGACCCCAAATGGGGTCCCGACCCACAGGTTGAGAACCACTGGTGTATTGCGATAGTGTAAGGCACGATCGCAAGAAATACTTCTTTTTCCCTGCTCATAATCTTGAAGAAAGAAGGGAAGAATCTTCCACCTCATTCATAATTTTAATCAGGCATTGCGCTTTGATTATTTTTCTATTAAACTATATAGCTGGAACCAACTCTTGTAGATAAGTTGAATCTCTAGGATAGAGGGGAAAAGGGAAGAAGACATTTGGATGTTACGTATTTTGAAGTCCTCTGCCTCAAGAACCAGTTCTTCAGAGGGTTTCCCCCCCCCCCCAAACCTGGGCATTCACACAAGCTGTCAATATTAGCTATCTGAATGTTAAAGGAAAAAGTCCTTAACAGTAAGTAAAGTTTGACAATGAAACAATTTCCAATAGAGGCAGGGGATTTCTCTTCAGTGGACAGACTGGACAGCCATTAGTCCAAGTTGATTTCATTTAGATTCTTGCACTGAGGAAGCATACGTGTGTATGTGTCTCTGTGTGTGCATTTGACAACCTCAGTGGCCCTTTCCAGCCTTTGTGTTTCAATCATTCTTGGTCAGTTAACGATCAAGAAGAGAGAGGCTTTTGCATGTACACTAAACTTAGTATTTACGTTACCAGTGTTTCTCAACCTTGACAATTTTAAGGCATGTGGACTTCAACTCCCAGAATTCCACAGCCAGCAATGCTGGCTGTGGAATTCTGGGAGTTGAAGTCCACATGCCTTAAAATTGTCGAGGCTGAGAAACACTGCGTTAGACGTTTTTATAGCATAGCTTGTGTTTGCAAACCTAACCTATTAGTTCACTCTCTTATATCAATCCTGAAAATGGGTTGATCAGTAACCAGGTTAGGTGTGTTGGTGAACATACCCAGTAACTTTCTGAAGTCAATGGAAATATGAGTTCACATGTTATTTTAAACTAAAATAATGAAATCATGAAATTAATTTCATGAGACTGTATCATGTGTGCAGAAGCCATGCAAACTAAGTTTTCAGTCAATTAAATCAGTATCTTAGTACAGCGTATGCCAGTATTTTTTCAGTATTGGCAACTTTTAAGAGAGGTGGATTTCAGCTCCCAGAATTCCCTAGCCAGCATATTGGCTGGAGAATTCTGGGAGTTCAGGTCCATACATCTTAAAGTTTAAAAGATTGAAACCCCTGTTTCACATGAAATCCCAACCCAATCCTATTAAACTAGTAGCATTCTGCTAGTTTCTAAATATGATAAATGTATACAATTCTAACTTTAAATTTGGCTTTTCCAAAGTCCTTTCTGAACTGAAATGCTTCCAGCAAGACCTCAGGACCCTTCCAGTGAGATTGGAAAGAGGATTTCAGCGCTAGGATATGCCTAGGTTGAAGTATTTTGTATTGTACACCTTTAGGGAACTGCCATCATACGTTGAACACAAGTACCTGTCACATCGCATCATCGAAATTGTGGTTTGTCTTGTCAATTTATTTAGGGGCTGTTAGCTTAGTGACCAATACCAGCAACAATGACTTTTGCTAAAAGGCTAAAGAGAAAAATACAAAACACTAGAAAGTTATCTATTACCTGTCTCTTTGGCTACTGAAAACTAGCCCAGATAATGGGGAGGCATGATCATGTAGTGTCATAGAAAACTGGGTGTCACTGGGCGCATTTTGATTACCTGAATTTGCCTTTGCGCTGCTGGAATCAAGAGAACAGGTCTTTAAGACTCTTTTATTTATTTCTATTTCCTATTTCTTGACTGCCCATCTTCCTTAAGAGTACTTGGAGACCCCAGATCTTCTGGCAGCTGAACTGACGACCATCTGTGCATTTTCCCGACAGATACTGAGATCGACTGGAAAGCCTACATGGATGAAGTGGAGGGGGTTGTGAATGGGACCCTGGACTACACCCAGCTAAAGGGGGACACAGGCCCCCTTGTGTGAGTACCTATAAATGTCCAACCTTACTGAGGCTCTTGTGGGTCCATCACCATCATCATCAACAACATAATATCAAACTTGTATCGTACCCAACATCTCCCAATGATTCTGGGTAGCTCACAACAATCAAATTAACATTACTGGTAGTCCTCGACTTACGTACATTTAGTGACTGTTCAAAATTACAACAGCACTGAAAATAGTGACATGGCCATTTTTCATACTTTCGACTGTTGTAACATCCCCGTGGTCACGTGATCAAAAATTCAGACACTTGGCTGAACTGACTTGTATTTATGACGGTCGCCGTGTCCCGGGGTCACAGGATCACCCTTTTGCGCCCTTCCGACGAGCCAAGTCAGCAGTGAAGGCAGGTTCATTTAACAACCGTGTTACTAACTTAACTGCAGAGATTTACTTAACAACTGTGGTAATGGGGAAAAACTCATTTAAATAACCATCTTGCTTAGTGGAAATTTTGGGCTCGTAAGTCTTCTTAACAATTCAGGTCTTAATAATTCTTCTAAACAACAGCACAGTGGGGGCCACCTAGATGTTGGGGGAACCTCATTCCGGAGAGCAGGTGCTGCTGCAGAGAAAATGCGTTTGGGGGGTCTTGAGATATGACATTTAATCGAAGGAACCCCAAGCACATCAACCCCACAGGATCAAATTGGTTGGCTGATTCTATGGGAGACAGATTTGTTGTTGTTAGTTGCGAAGTCGTGTCCGACCCATCGCGACCCCATGGACAACGTTCCTCCAGGCCTTTCTGTCCTCCACCATCTTCTGGAGTCCATTTAAGCTCACGCCTACTGCTTTAGTGACTCCATCCAGCCACCTCATTCTCTGTCGTCCCCTTCTTCTCTTGCCCTCCATCTTTCCCAGCATCAGGCTCTTCTCCAGTGAGTCCTTCCTTCTCATTAGGTGGCCAAAG